TGCCCCTGAAACAAACTCAACTTGAGATAACTCTTCACTCAATTGTTTTAAGCCAGGAGGCGCACTTCGTGTATCTACCACCTTGACGCAACAACCCGTTCGAGCCAACCAACGGGCCATGGATAAACCACTTGCGCCCAAGCCAAGAACCAAAGCCTTTGCAGTTGCCTGTGTTAGGGGGAGCGTCGTTTCCATCACTTACCGTAACTTCAAGGTAGACAAGCCGACCAAACACAACAGCATGGTAATAATCCAAAAACGGATAACCACCTGCGTTTCTGCCCAACCCGATTTTTCAAAGTGATGATGCAAAGGTGCCATTTTGAAAATACGCCGCCCTTCTCCATAGCGCCATTTTGTATATTTGAAATACACAACTTGCAAAACCACGGAGAACACCTCCGCAACAAAAACCCCCCCCATAATCGCCAACACAATTTCTTGTCGCACAATCACTGCAACCGTTCCTAAGCCTGCCCCCAGGGCCAATGCACCAACATCTCCCATGAAAATTTGGGCTGGATGCGCGTTAAACCATAAAAAGGCCAACCCAGCCCCAGCCATCGCCGCACAAAACACCAACAACTCACCAGCTCCAGGAATGTGGGGAATCAGTAAATATTTAGCAAACACGCTATTGCCTGTCAAGTAGGCAAAAACGCCCAAAGCGGCTCCTACCATGACAACAGGCATAACCGCAAGACCATCCAAACCATCCGTAAAATTCACAGCATTGCTGGAGCCTACAATCACAAAAAAACTCAAAATAACAAATCCAAAGACCCCTAAGGGGTAGCTCACTTCTTTAAAAAACGGAAGCAACAAGCCTGCCTTGAATGGCAAGTGCACATCAAACCCAGAGCGCACCCAGGTGAGAAACAGCTCCAGAACACGAGAGCCACCACTCTCTGAGATACTAAAGACCAAATAAAGCGAAGCCAATATTCCGATCAGACACTGCCAGAAAAATTTTTCGCCAGAAGACATCCCTTCCGGGTCTTTATTGACCACTTTGCGCCAGTCATCTAGCCAACCAATAGCGCCAAAGCCCAAAGTCACTACCAAAACAACCCAAACAAAACGGTTGTTCATATCCACCCACAATATGGTCGAAATGCTTATTGCCAAGAGCATCAACACCCCACCCATGGTTGGAGTTCCATTTTTTTTCAAATGACTTTGCATGGCATAGCCGCGCACAGGTTGCCCAATCTTCAAACTGAGCAACTTGCGTATAACAGCAGGCCCAGCGAGCAACCCGATCAGCAAAGCAGTCATAGCCGCCATGACTGAGCGAAAAGTCAGATACTGAAAAACGCGCAGCCAACCCCACTCAACACCTAGGCTCTGCAACCACGAAGCCAAACTAAGCAGCATGTTCAGCCTCCCCAACCTGACTGGTTGCGCACAACGCCCTAACCACGCGCTCCATTCCCATAAAGCGCGAACCTTTGACCAAGATGCTGCGATACTCAAACGCATCGCGCACACAAGCGCTTATGAGTGAATCTATATTTGCAAAATGCCTAGCTCCAGGAAAAACAGCAGCGCCATAACGCATTAAATCCCCCAGGCAATACAAGCTCTCTATACCCTTTTCTGCTGCGTACTCGCCCACTTCAGCATGAAATTCATCGCCCTTGTCTCCCACTTCCCCCATATCCCCCAAAACCAATAAATGCGGCCCAGGCAATTCAGCCAAAACATCTATCGCTGCGCACACTGAATCCGGATTGGCGTTGTAACTGTCATCAATCAAATCCATGGTCAAGCCACCAAAGCGCAATACGTGCGCTTGGCTGCGGCCAGAAACGGCCTGGAATTGCTCCAAACCCTCTACAATTTGTGGAATATCTACCCCCGCACCCAAGCAGGCGGCAACCGCAGCCAAAGAGTTCTTAACATTATGGCGCCCCGCAATGTGCAGCTGGTAGGCGAATGCCCCGCGCACACTTTGCACCTGCACCGTCCAACGACCTTGCAGCCAATTGGCCTGTGCACTGATATCTGCGTACCGTACCGCGCCGCTCAAGGCGAAAGTCTGAACCTCGTGCACACCAGCACAATCTCGCCACAAGCTGGTATACACATCATCCGCAGGAAAAACAGCAACCCCATTAGACTGAAGGTGCTGCAAAACAGCTCCATTTTCTTGCGCCACGGCCTCCACCGATTGCATAAACTCCTGGTGCTCACGCTGGGCATTGTTTACCACGGCGATTTGCGCTTGCACCAAGGAGGCCAGGTAAGCAATCTCGCCAGGATGATTCATGCCCAACTCAATCACGCCAATACGGTGCTGCGCACCTAAGCGCAAAAGCGTTAACGGCACGCCTATTTCATTGTTTAAATTGCCTTGCGTCACCAAGGCGGCATCACCAGCGTATTGACGCAAAATACTGCCTATCATTTGCGTTACTGTCGTCTTGCCATTGCTACCGGTTACAGCAATGAGTGGCAAATCAAATTGCCCTCTCCATCCCGCAGCAATATGCCCCAAAGCCAATCGTGTATTGGGCACTTCAATGCCAGGCAAACCACACTCTTGCAAACCACCATGTGCAATGGCGGCCACTGCACCGCGCCCTTTTGCTTCAAACAGCATCGTATTAGCGTCAAAGTTGTCACCTTTCAACGCCAAGAACACATCCCCAGGCTGAATGCTGCGCGTGTCTGTATGCAAACGGGTTCCCACGATCTGGGAGTCTCCAACCAAATGCCCTTCCATACCCGCTTGTTGCAACCAGTGCTGTAATTGTTCTAACTTCATCATGCTCGTTCCATCTGTTTGGTCTGTCTGAGTTTCAACGCGGTACGCGCTTGATCTTGATCAGAAAACGGGTGACGCACTCCTGCAATCTCTTGATAGTTTTCGTGACCTTTACCTGCAATCAGCACGACATCTGCATCTGCTGCCTGATTTAAAGTCCAGCGAATCGCCTCAGCCCGATCCACAAGAATATTCGCTGCGGGGTTTTTCAAACCAATCGAGACATCGTGCAAAATGGCCGCTGGGTCTTCGTTACGGGGGTTATCACTGGTCAACACCACAAAATCGGCATACTGCTGCGCAGCCGCTGCCATAAGGGGACGTTTACTCGCATCACGATTACCACCACAACCAAATACACACCACAGTTTTCCACCAGACCAGGGGCGACCACACTGGCTCGCACCCCAAAAGGGCGCGCCTCTTGCCGCAAGGCCATAGTCAGCCCCACTACCGCGTGTTTGCTAGCCACATAGGCAGTTTGTTGGGATACAGGGGTCAGTCCCGCAGTCGAGGCCGTGTTGATGATATGCCCATAACCTTGCGCCTGCATGATTTGGTAGGCCGCACGCGAGCCGTAGATCACACCCCACAGATTGATATTGATATAGCGCTGCCAGAAAGCGGTATCCATCAGGGCAAAATCACCTCCACCGTAAATGCCCGCATTATTGAAAACCAGATCCAGACGGCCAGTTTCGGTTTTGGCACGGGTGATGGCCGCTTGCACTGCCCCCTCATCACTCACATCCATTACCGCGATGCGAATTTGCGGGTGCTCGGCCTGCAATTTCTCCAAGGCTTCAGCGTTGCGGTCGCTGGCATAGACCACGGCTCCCGCTCGCTCCAGACGCAGGGCCAAGGCATAGCCTATACCCGATGCCGCACCCGTGATAAATGCAGTTTTATTCAGAAAATAAGATCCCATCCCAGCCCCTACCCGCGACGCAGCCAG